TAATGGACTTTTCACAGTATAACCTAATTGTATAATACCACGCAAATTATGAACAGCATAAAATAAAATTACCAATACATATAATAAATAAAAACGAATGTGATATATTTATCCAAAATCTAAAAATGTTATTCAATTACCAAAGCTATATGTTCTTCTAGATTAATTCTTATTTTTGGGTTGAAGAAAAGTAATGAATTCTATATGAGATAGAACGAAATCACGCAGAACCTTTGTTAGGATTATAAGATGAAGTGGGTGTCAATAGCAATATATCGCCATCTTTGCTTTGGACAAAAATAGACAAGCTTTACGGTAGTCATATTCATGCACGTTTTTATCTACTTTTTATCACATTTTTTTATTTATTTCGGTGTCATTGATATTATCATTAGATATGTTAGACAATTTTAGGTTATTATGCAAGCAATTTAATAGAGTCTAAATCTTTTTATGTGACCATAATTGTGTACGTACAAAACAAAACATTCTGCTTTAATTTTCTTTTTCTATCATCTTTGAGGGTACTCGTCCTTTAAAAATCAATTGTGGCTAACTATTTCTTCGAAATATGTCCATTTGTGCTTTTCCTGACTTAGTTACGCTGTATTATTGTAGAAACGATGAGTAATATCTAAAATTTAATAAAAGACGTAAAGTCTGTTTTCAACTTTTTATAAAAAAGAAAACAATGTCGCTGAAAGATGTTGAAGATAACAACGCCGGTATGTGAGTGTAGTTGGTAGGTAGTCCGCCAGTCTCCGGTGAAATGTGTCAAGGGCCCGCGCCATAGCGGATGTAGCAGCCCTTGTCGTTTGTTTCGCTTCAAATCAGAAGTGGCGGCGTCGCTCGGCGCTCGTCTCTCCTCGGTAGTACCGTGAACTAATACAGGCCACACACGTTAGGCTCTAAATGACAGTTTTAACCTTGCAGACATAACAGGCGTAGGCTTTAGGGTTTGCTTTTAATATATGCTTGTAAGGCACAAAACGTAACGGGTTTGACATGCGTGATGGGATAAACTTGCAAGCATAACTGAATTTTATAGTAAGCATAACTGTACAGTCTTGTCACATACGTTAGTTGCTAGTGTTTGTTGTTGGGTAATGCATATAAGGACTAAACCGTCATACAAAACCTAACGTGTGTGGCCTGCATAATGCAACAGTCTCTGAGTTGTCACATTAACTCCGTGTTATGTTGCTCGCTACTTTTTTACATTAACACCATCCAAATTTTTATGTACCTTATTTTTGTTTAAAATTAAATATTCGTATTAAGTATGTTCTTACATCTTTCAACATGTTCTAAAAACAAAAATTATTGCTTTTACTATGGTTAATGGTTTTTCTGGATGTCAAGATCAAATATATAAATGTTATGTACTATATCTATTATATATGTGTAGTAAGTAGAAGGCAATAAGCGAAAGTTGAAGACGGTTACATCAATTAGGGAAGAGTCATGAATTATGCCCGAGTGATAACTCACAGAATGGACGTTGGGATTGAACGGCCAAGTCCTTCTGACGAAGATTTCGGTCGGACGCATCTCGCTCGGAATTCCATAGGGTGATCCAGCAATTAGGACTGGTGTACACTGGGTGCGTGCAATGTTACTGAACATAACCTATGTAATATATATGTTTATCACGTTTAAGATAATCTAAAGAGTAAAAGAGTGATCTTTTTATTGTGTTTTCTCTGTTTTAATCTAAGTCAATTTTTCAATAATGAAATTTTATTATCCACTAAATATCAACTATGTGTAGAATACGATTTTACCGTCATTTTGGACAGCTATGTCTGTATAACAAAAGCACAATGTCTAACTTCTTATTATCTATGTATTGGTATATGTTTCGGCAGTGAAAACGGTTACGAGTACACGGAATATAATTTTTATTAAACTTCAAAAATCGAACATCTCCCCCACTTAGTGTGGGTCTAACTCGTCGAAAGTTAGGGCGTTCGGGGAATGAGGGGCGGCAGGCAGGATCGTTATTTATAATGTATTCCCTCAATTAATACGTCTCGGCAGCTACCGATTGTTCCCTCCTCGTCTGGTCTTTTGTCTACTTCTGACTTCAGCTTAAAGATCATTCGGATTATAGAATTATGAGATTGATTGTATTCAAGGAGTCGTAAACTATTTTTATACCTCCATTGTGTCGCAAATTAACTTACGATGTAAACAAACATATTATTATTTACTTTACCTTATTAGTGACACAGCACACTCACACAATTTTTTTAAAATTATTTGTGGTATGTCTTTTGTTTCCTATTACGTCTGCTGTGGAAGTCAAAATTCTATCTAACCTTTAAGGAGCTTCTTCTAACAAAAATATGTCTGTATTTCTAAGGGTGTGTATATTTAACATTTATGGTTTTACTTGCACGTTAACTTATAAATAAATAAACAAATTGATTTAGTACAAAGTTTGAAAAGGTTACTCGAATAATCAACTGAGTAGGCAGTCGGTGCTCCGCGGCAATGGTAAATCAATCAAAATATTGCGGTAAATAATTTTAATGTTAACCAAACGAATTGCTCCAAATCATCCGTTCACAAAGTAAATATTATTTCAATGCCACATTCTGATTACGGGCAAACATTAGACTTTAAACAATTTTCGCGATTATTTCGTATATTTGTTTTTATCAAATTATTTCAATGATAACATAATTATATGTATCTATGTTTAATGGAAATGAATTTTTAGTGTATTAACATCTGAATTTATACTGAAAATACGACTTATTAGAATAAAATTTTAATTTAATATATATTATCAATTTTTGCAATTCCTTCACTTATTCAAACCCTAATGGTTACCTTCACTCCTGTTACTTGAGCAAAGCTGGGATGAGTTGCTAGTATGTATCATATATAATAACCAGAACACATAGAGCCGGTTACTACAATTTATGCATGTTTTAAATTCCGTGCTAATCGAATTTTATACAAGGGAACGTTTGCAATTTTTCTGGCTACCGGAGTACTATATAAAATGTTCTTAAGCTCGGAATTTTTAACTTCAACATTCTTTCCTCAATAAAACTAGTTAAGGTTTGGAAACAGGATAGTTAGCGTGGAACAATTTTAACTTTTAAAATCGAGGATCGATATCGGTCGCGGTCAGGAGTTAACTATCCGCGGAGTAAGATGGAGAATCTTTTGTTACTTTTAAATAAAATTTAGCAGACACGAGACGAGTTAAAAAAACTTAAATTAATAGCCTTTGTGATCTTTCAGATTATGTTCTACAACTAACCCAATTTTCAGCGTTCATGCAGCCTTTCTAGAGATACCTTCTAACAAATATACACCCATTCATACATCCAAACATTCGCATTTATAATATTAGTAAGACGGGGGCAAGCTAGCAGCGGGAACACCGATGTGTTCATCAACGCCCATGGACGTCTGCAATACGAGAGGAACCACCGAAGTTACCGGACTTTGAGATTGTGATACGCTCGCTTCTTGAAGGACCCTAGTTCGATTATTAAAAGATGGGTTACGAATAAAACAATTTTTGGCAAGTATGTAACTAAACGTATTTCTGTAAATCAATTAACTCACGTATATCTAAGGTTGAACTTTCGTAGAATAAATAAATTAAACGGTTTATAAATTTCAAATTAAAATAATCATGTTGGTTTAATTCCATAACGGAATAGGAAGTTAATTCCGTACAATACAAACGCATAACCCTCGTATCGGAGTCATGTACAATAAATGTTTATTCTATTGATTTTCACACGGCTCGCTGCCATGCATCTCGTCGGTGGAACCAAGAGCAGTTACTGCGACACAGTTCCAAATTGGCCGATTAAAATTACCGGCAGGCAACTTTGTTCTATTAATAATAATGAACACGCTACCCAAAGCACCCCTCATTGTTGTATGCATGTTTTTATATTGAAAAAGTTCTGTTTCGCTTACAGTAGCTTGGGGAGTTAGAACTTAGTGTTATTATAACGCTTTTTTTTATTCACGAATCGATTTCAGTTCTCATTATTTAGATTTTATATGGATGATTTACTTTATGATGTATGTAATTAGATTTGTTTATATGTGTAACGAAAGTCGAAAAGTATGAATTTCTTGTTCATTTATGTAAATTAGTCATTGGAAAATAATATCGTACAACGCAACAACGTACCCTATCATATTATACTCCTTCTTAGTATAAGAATCTGCAAATAAAATACAGTTATTTCAGTTATTAAATTTAGCAAATTGTGATGTTGAATAAATATTTTTGATTGTTTTCTTTCCCACGGTTGTTAGATATCGATAACTATAGACGCGAGTCAATTAGTGACAAAAATTTTGTTCAAATTTTCATTTAGGGGAGGGTAAGCTGAATATTTGCAATACTCTTTCACTTGTGTTGTTGACTGTAATACCAACCTAACGCACTTCTACGAACTCAGAAATATGTATCGTAGGACGATCATCGCTGCGGGTAGCCTACTATTCAATTGTAAGTTTCCATACCAATTCAATAGTTAATTAAAATAATGGTCTCTATTTTGACTTTATTGCAGCGTAACACCATTAAACGATAACCTAAAACATGTTTTAAACATGGAACATTTTAACAAATATACCTGTTTCCTAAAATAACCAATTTTAAAGATAACCGAAAAAGTTATATATTAAAAAGTTTCGATGTCAGATAAAAGTAGTTAGTTGTTATTGCACTTTCAAGTCTGAAAATGTAGTGGACATTTTCCTACTTGAAAGTGCCAATCGCGGAGAGTAAAGCGGCCTCACTGCCTCTGGCTTTAATTGCAGGCTCAGCGTTCATTAGGATATGCAGTTTTTTAACGCGATTATGACAACGCAGGGTCGGCGTCGTCCGCGAGGGTGCGCTGGGGCGCGGAGCGGAGGGCTGCGTCACGTGCGAGGTCCGCACTCCGCAGCCCCACGCATGCGAGACCGCGGGGCGCCGCCAGCGCACGCGCGCCCCGCACCCACCCCTCGTCTGCCCGCCACCGCCAGTCCGCCGCCGGCCGTCTCGCGCCCCGCTCGTCTGTGCTGCGCTCCACGTCTCGCGAGTGTTCCCGAGTGATGTCGACTTGTGACTAGTGCCATGATCGTGCTCCGTTGTGCCCTGGTCGCGGCGCTGCTCGCCCTCGCCGCCGCCGCCTGGCAGGAGAACGTCAGGCCCAAAGTCTTCGCGCAATTAGGTAAGTACTTGTCATCATGGAACACCCAAAAACGCCAGTGGACATGAAGTTACCCTCGTTATAACAGGAACGAAATGCGAGCATCGATATAAACGCTCGCGTCACTCACTGTATTAACCGATGTTTATGTTATGATTGACGGCAACTTGCTTACAAACATTTCAAAAGTTAGTTTTGAATCTGTTGCGATCTGAAATTTGTTCGGAAGGAAAGTTTATTTAGTGTTGTGAAGATTTATTTCTCTAAAATGAACTTAAAGTGTGATTGTTTGCGCTAAAGACACAGCTTTTAGGAACCTGATAGAGTTTAAAGTGGGACAACGCTGATATCTAGTATGAAGTCATTGAACTTAACGTTTACGTCAATTTTTAGGTTATTAATTATTGACAAACTGATATTCAAAACTTAATGACCTTACTTGAACTTAATATTGTAGACGTCACACAGCTAGTATATTATGTATAGAAGCGTGTTGTAAACATAAATACAGCGATAATAATCAATTTACTTTTTCTCTTATAACAATAATATAGAGACGTAATATTTTGGTAGCGGTAAATTTTGTTACTTTACTCTTTTAATGTGAACCTCGCCTGTCTTAAGTTACTTAGTGGGTGATCCCACACACAGAGTAATTATTACCCAATAAGAATATTTAGTGAGAATTACATTACTATAAATAGAATAAACAGAGTTGTCCCTAAAGTTTTGGCTTGGGATCGTTGACAACGAGTCACAGTCACGCGACAGTTCATCCTGCAGGAATAAAGGGATGGTGTACAACTGTTGTGTAGTGCCATTGTTTTATTGTGCAGTCTGCATTGCGGGGGACGGGCCACGTGCCTCTCATTAGTGCAATACAAAGCCAGCAGTTTATTCTGCGTTTTGCAATGTTACGCCCGGATTAGTAATATACGAGTAGCTTTATGTACCGCAAGTTTAGCCGATACGGGTATGATGTGCAAAAGAATTCGACGCCCCTTTCACAACGTTCTTAGTTTGTCGGTTCACTCATACGGGAATGCTGTCAATTTAAGGAAATGTACTGTCATCAAGTCTAGACACAAATACGACGAGTACATATCCTGAATTGCCGTTGTATCCGGTCTTTGTGAACGTTCGATTTAAAATGCTAATGTATTTACTCACATATTCAGATACAACCTTTGAGAGACGAAATATTATACGCATTTTGCTGTCGATATTAATTTAATTGCATTCATAAATCAATTTTACTTAAAATGGATATTATTAACTAAGCGTTGCTAATTGTCCGAGTTAATTAAACGGCTATAGTTGAGTTGTTTGATGTGGAGACACTCGTAGCGTGTCAACACCTCTTCAGTTATGTGATCTAGCAATTGAAACCAGAAGGGTGGGATGACCGCGCACTGTGGTTATAACGATCAAAGGTTCCTATGGAAATTAACTAGCAGTAAAATCCCTTTTGGTATTCTTTGAATTTTGAGGAGATAAAAATACTAACGTCCACTGTAATTTGCTATCTTAGTGCTAGTACAATAGGAATGTGTTAACTAAAAATTCATTGTTGTGTACAAAAATAGTGTTCCGGGGAAATTGTGATTGCAATAGTCTCATTTGTATAGTGTTACGGGTTCCATTAGTGCTTGAAATATTGATATATTTATTATTCTATAACTGTTGTACCGGGTACAATTTCAATTTGTGCAAATTGTGTACAAAATGCGAAGCGATAATGAAGGCAACTTCCGGCTAAGTGCGCACTCAAAGAATACAAATTCACCGTAAAGTGCCTCTGGAGGAGGTACGGCGAGTTTTAATGCGACTTATAAATTTTTTAAGTCTAACGCTACTTATATAAATTACCAGCTAAATCCGGCATGCATTCTAATGTCGCGCTATAGAAAAAAAAGTCGAGATATTTTTTTTCCTTTTTTTTTGACAAAAATCTATTAAAGTTTTATAGTTATGGTTCAGAAACGTGAACATGACTAAGGTTGAAACATTCATTTTATTTATATATATTCATATTGCTTTTGTGTCTGACTGTACCACTAAGACAGACCGGTTCTGTGTGGGTCGAGGCGAGTATTGGTAGGAAATTGGATGCAGAAATTTCTCCCAGATTGTTTCCGATGACTCACTTTTGAACAAGATTAAGTAAGGTCAGTGTTCGCGTTAACTGCACTCCCAGTTATCTATACTTACGGGCTTATTAACACCAACTGGGTGGACTGAACATTGCAATTGGCTCTATCGCTTTTCTTTATAAGCAGACAAAGGCATTTTGTTTACTACTAAACAAATGCGTATTTCTTCGTATTAGTGACAAATATTTTTTATTTGTGAGCCTGCCTCGAAATATATTATAATATACTTGATTTATATTCTTAACGTGATATACATAAATAATAAATTGTCTACCCTTCAAACAGGTCCTTGAATACTATAAGGGTTACGGGCGAATTAAATTAAAAAAAGTATGATTAATGTTTATTGGTCGTGGTTGGAGTAGCTGTATCCATCTAAAACCGTATTCTATTATTATTGAGCGTTTAAGTGTAACCATAAAATAACCGTTCAGGTAATACCTGTGGTATAAATAAATTACTGGATAATGCTTTTATACTGTGGAATGTTTTGAACGTGTCCTATTCTAGCTTATGGGTATTTATTGGGTTATACATCAGGGACCAATACGCTGGGGAACCTTTGTGGTTGGGGTGCATAATACCGCAACGATTCTATGTTGTTTATTACTGGCCACTCCTATACTATTTATTAATAAAAGTAAATTAACATTTATATATTTTGTATTTGAGTTTGTTTAATTGTTCGATAACTTTTAAACTTTAGAAGGCTGAACTATTCAAAAGTAACCTGTTTTTGTGATATCCGTAGTACATTTCTTGAAATTTCATTTCAAATGTGCCAATCTTAAGTATGAACTGTTTATGCAATATGCTGATGTCGGACTGCTTAATAAAAATGCCGAGGGAGCCGCAACTATAACCGCTAATCAAAAAAGGACAAAAGTTCAAACATTCATCGACAACGCGATCGCTTAAGTCGAGAGGAATGCGACGGGGTGTCAAAGCAAATTGTACTTAAGTGTACGTAGAAATAAAATGAGTTATCGTTTGGGACTTCCCGCTTGGAGTGTGATATTGAGATGTGCACCTTAGGATAAGGTGATAAAGTGTATTATCGGTTATCGACTGGTATCTTGAATGAAACAGACGAGTGGCAGTAACGCACGTGCGTGCGGGGTGCGGGGGGCTGCCTCTGGCGCCGCCTGGCGGGAGAGGCACAACTTTATGACGACGCAATATATTGTCTTCGCTCAGTGTGGGATTCATGGTGCCTTTTGTTTTATTTTTTCTGGACACGCCGATTAATTTCTTTTAGTGCGCCGTTTTGGGGGATCCGTTTCAGTGTGCACTGCAATCAAAATTTCGACTTCTTTTGTTTTAGTCGACGTTGTGCTTTAGCGAAGATTAACCCTACGATTAAGAGTATATTTTTCTTTTTTAGTGAGAGAGAAAATGGCGTCATAAATATTGAAGAGACAATATTTTAACAGTTAAGATGTAATATTAAGCCATGAGAGTTTTTTACTAAAAATATAGGTGACTTAACGATATCTGGTTGTGTCTTGAATTTTGGAACGAACAAATTCATATCAAACTTTGGCATTATTTTAAGGTTATACCTGACTAGTTGTCTGTTAAATCGGTTGTCATTTAATTCGCAATAGGGATATAAGTAAAAGGTAGGTAATAAATGCATGTCCGACCCAACCCTCGTTGATGAGGACAAGGCAAACATTGGTTTAGTAATAAAAATATTTGTTCAAATACTCAATGCGCAATGGAAAGGAAAGGCGTTTTTTACAAAGCCGGTCCCGGGAGTGTGCCTTGCTCATTGTCATGCAGTTTTTAAACCGGGATTAAAAGGAAGCTAATAATGAGCGTACTGGGGGGAGCTGCAGTCGGTTTGCGCATAGTTACAAATTTCTACTGCGCCATTCAGCTTGGAATTAAATACTTTTGTGCGCCGTGTATTCCTAAAAGACTTCCTTATTAAAAAAGATAATTAGTTCGCGAGTCCTTTTAAATAAATAGAGGTAAACAGAAATTATTATATTAAATCTCGTTTCTTAGTGATCTTGTTGTTCTCCTATACAAATTTTCGTTGTTCTGAATAATATATATTAAATAAGTATGTTCATATTATTCCATGTTTGTTTGTTTTAAATTTATTAAAACGAACTTTTGTACATGTTTCTACTTTTTCTATAAAACATTTTTCTAATTAAGTAAGAAGTTAAAGTAAACTGGGTCTTAGTTGCGAGTCATGTTAACCGTAAAAGTGGTAAAGTCGACGCGATCGTTTCAAATGTTTTTATTAATAGGCTCATAACGCCTTGTAAGGTCACACCTTTGAAGGAACATTTTAAATTCTGTTAAAAAATATTTTTATATTAATAAGGATTTAGTTATAAGCAACTCTACGTTATTTATTTTAGAATTATAAATCGTAAATGTTAGAATTGTTTAGCTTGGAAGTTGACCTACATATTTATGATGTGCCTTAAAAATGACTTGTTTATGTTTCGTTGTTTTTAATCTGAGAAGGGATTGATCATGTGTTTGAAACATTTTATTTTTGTCAATTTGATTAAGACGATGGTGTTTTTAGATCCTTTTATTTAGAATAGTTTAATAGTTTTCTTCAGTCTTTTGATGTCACACGATTGCATATGACGTCACAAGTTAAACTTTTTTTCTCTAGAAACATGCTCACCGAACATTAAATTTTATAACGTAAAATCTTATATTTTATGGCACTTTAACTATATACCGTTTTAATCCTACATTATCTAGTAATGGGGGTACGATGTTAATGTATTTTCTCTCAGTATATGTGATAGCGGCCATTTTGTTTTGCTCATTACTAACATGCATTTTCTCATTTGCAGCGAGCCGCATTTAAAACCTTTGAAAACGTAGCGATGA